GGGGGGGGGGGGGGGGGGGGGGGGGGGGGGGTCAAGATTTTGGGGTTAACTTCTTCAATCGAGGGGTTTAATTCTGCGGCAGCTGTTGAGTAAGAGAATGTATTTGTTGAGTTGAGGGCCAGGTTTATCTAGTGACCGTCAATGTAAACCCCAGCTGCTCTCACCTCTAGGCGACCACTGCCCTAATCAGAGGGAAACCTTCCAACCTTATTCTGATCATAATCCTCTTAGAGCCCTCCAATTTGTGCTACTATCGGCTGATCGCCTCAGCACTTGAAACCGACACTTTCCTTGAGCAGTTATCTGGACATGAACTTATGACCGCATACTTTCTTAAAGCCCTCCAGGGTGCTCTTCATAGTTTCATAACGCCGAAACACGTCAGAGAGAGAGCGCTCCACGGAGTTCAGGTCTGCCAGAGCGGCTTCCTTCTCCATCGTCACAGTGTGCAAAGCCTTCTGGGAACTCTGGTTGTTGCGCTGCTCGTCCTCTGAGAAGAGCGAAGAAGAAGACATTATTGCGGAGTATTTATGGTATTATGTCTGGTAACGGCATGAAACATTGCAGTTAAACAGGGATACATTCACAAACAAAGGGAAAGGACTTGAGTGAAACATAATTTTTTTAAATTGTTGCTTTGTCTGTCCCAATACAAGAGAATGTGGATCAAAGTTACTGCACATAACTCAGTAAAACAGGAGACTCACAGTACAGGATGACACAAATCACACAGTGGCACTAAACTCATTGGAGACACCATTGAAATAAACAGTTACATGGAAAATAGATGTCTGCTCTGCAGCCCTGACCACACAATTTTAAATAGATTGTATTCTCTAACATTTCTACTCACCGATCATCTGAGCGATTGTCTTCTCATATTCTGCAACAATCTTCCTGTAATAAGACAAAACACACACAAGCCTTACTTAACCTTATGACAGGCTGTAGACAGAATGTTTCGATCTATCAAAACGTCACGTGACCACCATCAAAATCTATCAGTGACGGCTGAGTAAAAAGCATGAAGCAACAGATTGTCTCACCTCATCTCGCTGACTTCTTGTCTGCTGTCGTCGTACTTTTTCTTCCAGTCGTTGGCTACTGCCTCTTTAGTGATGATCTGAAAAGAGACGCCTCCTGTGAGCAGAACTGTGCATGTAAAGAAAACAAACACACGGATGTCATATGTCATGTTGGATGAGTGTACCTCCTCTCTAATGAGGGTGAGAACGGCATGTTTTTCTGCCTCACTGATGCAGATGGAGTCCAGGACCTGACTTCCTGTTTTCTGCATTTCACTTCCCTGTGGCTTGTTCTTCAGTTTGCATGGGTCTTCAAACTGCTGAAGGCAGAAGAAAATCTGTGTTATCGAACATCCAATAGTCTAATGGCGGGAAAGCCCACCCAAACTTTAAGAATATACAGAGTATTCATGACAAAAGCACATGTAGAATTCAACAATACTACCATAACACTATGCCTTTTACACTAAAACAAATTCCCCTTTTCATCCAGTTTTTCTCATCATTAGTTTGGTGTTTTTTATTGTCTTCAAATATTTCCTTTTATAAGTATAAAATGCATAAACCCATTGTACTGTAGGTGCTAAGAAAAGCCAATGCAAATGTCATGTTATTAGCTACAATTTGTATCATCAATTAGTTCGAATGATCAACTAATGAGAGAAACAAACAAAAAGGAATATTTATGCAAATTATGACTCATCATCATCTCTCAAACTTCTCACATTCTCATTTTTCACCCTGTAGCCCTCATGCCTTTCAATCAGTGTTCTTACAAATCTCAATCCTTTCTTCTTCTTCTTCTTCTCCCGTCTCTCTCCTCTCTCATTATGTCCTTCCCTGGATTATGACTGAATGATAATCTAAATCCATCTGTCACCTGAGTACATGAACACGGTGGCAGACACTAAGTACCTCCTGCTGTCGTACAGCACAGTGCGGCCATCATATCAGACTGGTGATCATACTGCAGCTTTAGATAATAATAATAATAATAATAATAATAATAATAATAATAATAACACAAATCTGCACTATTTCTATTTCAGTCACAACACACTCTACCTGCACAATGTTTCATTTACTGAGTAAATATCACCAAATTCAAATTATGTAAGTACAAAGAGCTGAACACAATGTGCCAATGGGACTATAACAGTGACATGTAATGCTGGGACACATCCAGACTTGTCAAAGCGGTTTCTCTGCTGCAACTGATGGAACAGTTTAGTTTAACCAAAGCACTGTCTCTAGTTTGACGAAGAAAAGAGCGCTTCATCTCCATCTAGTGGTCACTGGTTCACGTTGTAGTTGCATTTCTTGCTTAGATGACAAATGTCACAGACATGAGAGTACCACTATGGAAAACAGATAGGCTGTATATGGGCCTGACGCAGCACATATAGGGGAGAGGACATGAATGACTTATTGTAGTATTTATTTACCACTGAGCAGCAGTCTGAGTCCTCAGGTTTTGATGTCACATGGCAGTCTTGAACGGGAAGAAAGTGATACTCATGTTAATAAGAATGGTACAGAGATGCAAAGGTTCAGAGATGCTGTGGCCGATAATGTAATATGGTTCATCATCATGGTCAACAGGTGGCAGTACATGAGAAGTATTACAACAGTTCTCCAGTTGTATTTCTCACTATAAATATCACTCGATAACCACGTGCTCATAGACACTGCTGATTAATGATGTACGATCTGCAAAAAGTATCCCCATGACTTGCAAAACACAATATAATCTTTTCAATGTGTAGTTATTCGTTTTACTTAAGTCTTGCGTTAAAATAAACTCACTTAAATCACTTAAGTGAGAACAAACAATGAGCCTAAATGACTAGTTAAGACATCAACAGAAGTGTCAAGGCACTCATGCAAATATCAGCTCAGTACATCTTTGTCTTTGGACAACACTGGAAAAATACTAATGCTCATAATAAAAAATAACAAACAGCACGCCCCGTTTAGAAACAACGAAACCTCAAACTACTGCACGTGATGCAGTTACGCACCATCTGTAACAGTGTGGCCTGCTCAGATCAGACCGCTCAGAAACTAAAGCTGAGTCAGAAACAGCCTGAAGGCACCTGTGTGATCGTACAATCTGACCGATCACACCAAAACAACAGACAAACCGTACTGTTGCTCTGAACAACTGGACTGTGCTCGTTAAACATTAATCTTGTGTGTAACAGTTGGGCAAAGATGAACCTTCTCACGGTCCGGTATTGATACAACGAAGCTAAAGAATGCTGTCTAAACTTTAACTTCCAGTTATCTGATCTCTGTAGAGTAGAGACTAACTGTTAATGAGCTGTTCACTACTGTTTCAGTGAAGCACTGTAACCGGGTGGCACAACATTCAAATCAATCGTCATTGATTACTCACCGCTTTGGTCCTTGTCTGGTTTGACACTGGTACTGCTCGCCAGCTTCTCCTCGTCTGTGGCGTGGTCTCCATGATGGTCCTCCTTTAACAGACGCAAAGATAATCAGCCACGCTGACTGTATGAAGCTGTTCTAGAGCCAATACTACGACAAGATACAGGACATACATTATCAGTTCTCACCTGTCCGCTGAAGTCCTTTTGCATCGGCTCGGTCTGCTTCACTTTACAGGAGTTCCTGTGAATGAAAGTCAATAACTACATCAGCGTCAACACTATCTTGATCATAAATCTGCATGTGTGTACATGCGGGCAGGTGTGATGATGAGAAGAGGAAGCAGGAGAGACAGAAAGCCTTACGGCCAGACCTCGTTGCTCTGCTCTGTGTGTGCGCTGAGTTTGCATGATCTGCCTTAAGTGCTGAATTAAGCAGAAGAAAAAGCAGATTAATGAAAGAGATTGTTGCCAAATTGAAATGAGAGCAAGAGCAGTTGTTCAGAGCGCTAGAGGGAATTATGGGGTTTCCACTAACACTCTCTCTCCTCTACTTTCTAAAGCTACTCCTACTGTTCACCTTCAGTTTGTGATTGAAGGAAAATTTAGGTCAGATGTGCCTGGACCTGGACTTGTTTCAAGAACAAGGACTGAGGTTACAAACACACAGTTATACAGTACTTACAACAGAACACAGAGGAAATGGACCTGCTCAGCAGTCCTGATGCCACACAGAGAGAAGGGAGACAGAATGACAGGTTTGAAGGAAAGACAGGAGAGGACGGGACAGGGGTTAAACACAAGGGGAGTGCAGGGTTATTATAGTTAGGTAAATTAAAAACAGACTAAAAGTACACAGGTCACAGTAAGTACTATGATAAGAGCTTTGAACTAAAAATCAAGTATTTCCAGCTTGTCCTTTGATATTTTATATTGGCAAGATATTTGTGAAGAGATAATGAAAGTATTGGGAACAAAAGTTGATTGTTTATTATCTGATTGATTATTATCTGGGAAAAATTGTGAACAAACTTGTCACTAAGGATGAACATCTGAAATATTTGTGGCTGCAAAGAAAGATAGCCATCACACGGAAATGACAGCAGGCAAACCCTCCAACATAAGACAAATGGGCTACAAGTATCAATACAATAATCTGCATATGGACAATATGTAATATAATGGAAATGTACTACACTGTACACAGTCTATTGGCCTATAAGATGCAACCCATTACATATGTAATTCAAGAGCCTGTTTCTGTATTTAGTATTATGTTGTCTGTGTCAAACCACTCATTTACTTTGAAAATAAAAATAATCAATAAAAATAATCTTAGTACACATTGAAAAATTACCAAACAAGCAACGGTTCTTCTAACAACATGTGGTCAGTAGTTCATTGCTGTATTGATCACAAAAAGTCAATAATTACAATTGTGTTGTTGTTTTTTGGGTCGTGATTCTTCTTTAAAAGGAAACTGAACAGAAAAACACCACAAGAGGGCGTTGTTTGTCTCTTTACCATTCAAAGAACATTTTCTGTCCACAAGCAAAGAATAGTTGTTAAAAATACTTCATCCAGCTATGAACACTGAAAAACTGCCTCTGTGGAATAATGCAAGCAAATCAAAAACAAATCATCCTGAAAACTGAACTAAAAAAGTGAAATTTTAAAATAAAATGATAACTAAAAGTAAAACATTTAAAACTATAATAACGCTGGTGAGGAATGAATGGCCGTGCAGGAGACAAACAACATCTGAAGATGCACAACAGGCCGACACAGTCGGTCGTAACGGAAACACTTTGATTCCTTCAGGTTCCTTGTGCAAAATAGCGAGCATTCATTAATGTCCCCTGCGGCCATAAAAGAGAGAGCGCTGTTTGTTCAGCTTGAAAATAAATCTGTGAGTCATATTAGTTCAGTTTCAGCCACTGACGGATTGCTGAAGAGGCCTTTGTGTACTTCTGTGTTTTACTCACGTGATACTTGTGCCGTTGGTCTCACAGGTCAGTTTTGTGCTTTGTGTGTTGGAGTTCATGTTGCCATTAAGCAAGTCGGGATCCACACAAATGTCATGACTGGAGATCAAGTTCGAGTCCGGGCTGGAGTCAGATGTCACCGGAGCCTGGTCGTCCACCTCGGAAGGATCTGGTTTGTTCAGCGGGGAAAGGAAGGACAACGATGGGGGCCGGAGGGCTTGAGGCTGGGGCAGAGGGCTGGATGGCGAGAGGTCCCCTCCAGCACCGGGATAGCTGCTGAGGGTCAGGTTGAGGTTCTGGTCCAAACCAAAGCTACGGTCGATTGGTGAGGAGCCGGTGAGGTTGTTCAGGGAATCAACCTCTCGGGATGAAACTGGGCCCACATCCTGGTTGGAGTTCTTGTCCAGAAAGTGGTTTGTGACATCAGGAAGAACTGTGAAAACAGAAGAGATGTAAGTTTGTAACTAAGTTTATATAGAACCTTTCAAGGGCAGGTCACAAATAAAAGAAATGAGACAACAGACACATAATAGAGACTTATAAAAACAGTCTGAAGCGAGGAATAACCAACAGAGCCTGATCAGAGACCTGCTGTTGACATAGGACTGCAGTAGATCTAGGCTGGTGCCTCACACTGAAGAGCTATGAGAGTGATTACAAGAATCTTTAATCGAATGGTAAATACGTGTGTATAGAAATCAACATCGGTGTCACATAGAACCTTTTAGAGGACACAATGGGCCTGAGTTTTGCAATGTTTTTCAGTTTGAAACATCCAGAATGAATGAAACACTTAAGGAGTCGGTGCCTTGTCCATAATTACACCTCGGTGTCGGATGAAAAATGTAACGGAATATAGTTGCCTGCTGTGGCCGTAAATGGCACTATTATCTGCACAGCAGTGATGGGAGATACCTTTGAAATTACTTATTATCCGTCCAAAGGGAAGTTTATACCAAGCAAACAGAAAAGGACCCAGGACAGAACCTTGGGGCTCACCACAATACTGAGTTTCAGAGGGAGGCAACTGAGAAGCACTTGTCAGAAAGTTAGAAGGAGATCCACAGCAGGGCAGACCCAGTGACAAGCAGATCTCAATCCTTACTTCAACATCCCCATCCTGAGGCTACTTAATGATTGTATCTGTCATTCAGGGATTTAAACTTGAATTGACGGCTTTCTTCTTCTCCTGTTAGAACACTGGCGGCTGGCTTCCTCTCAGAGCACTTCACATCCTGTGTCCTCACACATCCTGTTAACAGCGAGCTAACGACCACAGCAGCAGGCTGGTCTCTGTTGAGTCACTCTGCTGCTGAAGCACGGGACAAACACACCCACTCACACTGTAAAGCTCACACAGAATGATAAAACTAGAGAGACTCTCCTATATTCTTCTGTAATCCTTCTCAACTTGCTCAAAACGTGGATGAAGTCGTTGTGGTTTCACTTTCGAGCAGGTAACAGCTTCTCACACCTTTGTCATGACTGAAGTCCAGAGTGTTATTACATCATACATTGGATTGATGCAAGTTTATGTAAGCTTCTGCTCAAAATCTGGGTACTTTCAGACACACACACACACACCCTTTGGAGAAAGGGAACAGATGTAGCAGAACCACACCCAGTCATGCAGAGTACACACCACCACGTGGCCTAGCAACAGAGACAACATCAGGCTTTATTACACAGCTCTACCAAAAAGAGGAAAACCAGACAGAGAAGTGAGAGAGAGAGAGAGAAGCGGTCTACGGGTTCAGCTATGTCCTGGTTCAACAGCACAGTTTAATTGTAGCCTGTGGTTGTTATTATTAACAGTGAGGGTTTCCCCCTGAGACGTTACGGTCTAATTATACTCAACCGGAATATCGATTACTCCACACAGTCAATCTTTTATTTATGAAACCAACACATGTTTAGTACAGAGCATGTGACTGGTTTAGCATTGAAAGGAGACTGTTACTGTCTGCAAACCAGACTCATTAATAATCACATTAATCTCCCTGTTATTCCCATATGCTGAGGTTAAAACGTGTCTGATTCCAACTTCATCACGCAACAGTAGTTGTCAAATTCAGTCACTTTAATGACAACGGAGAAGCAGCGGTCACAAAAAAACATCAGTGAAATAAAAGCATCGCATTGAGCAGAGAAGATGCACCCCACATGATCTATTACCATGGTAACGTGTGGGTGAAAGCAGGGCAGTGGAGGGGGGATTAATCTGCTGCTCATCAATCAACCGATTACGTAGAGTGTGTCTGACAGGATGGTTACATTTAATTTAATTTACATTTAACGTCCCCCAAAAAAACAACCCTAACCTGAATCTTAAAGCCAAATATCTCAAATACTGCACAACTAAAACTATCGCCACGATCAGGTACGACTAAAGGTAGAACATAGTTTATGATTTGCATGAACCAGCCCTTGAACACACCTTTGTGCCTTAAAGCTATCTGCTTAAAGCAATCTGCTGGATTGGACTTTTGGACATTGTGACATCAGTGTCGGGTGTGATTACAGCTCGGCTGCTCTCTTCAGCCTAATGTTAGATTACTCTGTTAAGTCTAAACACGAGCAGCGATACGAGTACTTTGCCGAAATGAAACACATTATCGACTTATTTGATCAGAGAATAAACAAACAATGTCAATCTTCAGTACTCGGTAGATGTGGATCGTCTGTGCTACAGACACATTTCAGTTGGTACCAAAACGTATTGAGGCTTGAAACCAAGCCTATAGCCTGAGAATATATATCCAAAGCAATCGTTTAGGTGTGACAGAGTTTGACCAGTAAGAGCCCCGGGTCACGGAGCCGTCTCACCTGTGTGGTTGGAGTTGTCCAGTTGGCTGAGCAGCTTCACAACACCTGGACACTCTGCCTCAGGAGTCCCAAAGGTCCCCTCCGAGTCTGAACTGAGGAGAGAGAGACAAGAAGACCTTAAAACACCATCCACAAGGAAAGAAAAATACAACAAATCTGTTCGAAATAGAAAATGTGCTGTAACTGACAAATATGATCCATAAAACAAAATGAAGTCTTCTCATGAAGCATGTGATAAAACAAGTCATGTCTGGTTTAAAGCTACATATAGAACAGTCTACTGTCTTTGAGAACAATGAGGCATTGAAAATGTTGATCAGTCTGAATAATGACATATAAATGCTACTAAAGGACATATAACAGTGAAAGTTTGGATTGTGTGTTGCAGTTTTAAATTCTTTCTCACAAATAAGCATATATTCAACTATCAATCTTCTGTTTTCTTAAAGTGACAGTGAGAGTTCAAAGCAGCTAAACATAAACAAGCTGCTTTGATTTTAAAGGAAGTCGGAGGAAGGTAGAGGAAGTGAAGTCCTACAAGGCCACCTGCATCCTTTGCCTCTCAACAAGGACACACTGTGTCCCACACGACTCATTCACACACACACCCACACACACACACACACACACACACTCACACACACACACACACAGTTTTTGGTCTGCTGTGTCAGCTGCCTAGACACCCAGCCTAAATTTATGCCCAAACTGTGGAGAGACAAAAAGGAAGGGAGAGACAGGGAGTGAGAGTTAATGTGGTTTTGTGTGTGTGTGTGTGTGTGTGTGTGTGTGTGTGTGTACCCGTTCCCAGCCGCTTCAACACACATCAAAACGTCTGCACTCTAATGAAAAACAGCACGAGAAGGAACAAAGCTCTCTGTGCCAAACACAACCACACTCCATCTCTGATACCAGTTCACACAAACACATTCACGCACGCTGGAGCCAGAGCGAATCCTAATATACATACCCACCCACCCTGCACACACACACACACACACACACACACTCACACACTGAATCACGTCCCTGGATGGTTACTTAGAAACTAGCGATGGACGGAAAAAGAAATCAAAAGCTTTGGAAACTGTGGCTTTTTCCCCCCATCCCCCAACATTCAGCAACTGTTCCCCAACTGCCAAACAGCCATCACACATAAACACACGCACACACGTATAAAAACAAGCCTTGGACACAGTCATATCCTCCGGTTTAGTGCCTCATAAAGAAACAGGATGGTACACACAAAGCAGAGGCTGACAAACAAAAATGGAGTAACTGTATTTTGACTAAGAATCTGCTTTTAGCCAATGACAGCATGACCAAGACACTGGGATGCACAGCATTATACAACCACATCTGTGTGTGTGTGTGTTGCTCTCTTTGTGTGTATATATCCACCACCTGTCAATGTGAATCTGGGAATCTGCAGTCATCGCACAAGAACACAATCAATATAGTGCTATTTATTAAAGCAAATACAGAGAATCACCCATTCCTTTACAGATATTCTCTGTTTCTATTTCTTACACTGACCCAACAATCAATCAATCTCTCTCTCTCTCTCTCTCTCTCTCTCTCTCTCTCTCTCATACACAAACGCTGTGGCCTAGCCCTCTTACTTGTCCTCTCCGTCATCCCTGGATCTGGGCTGCCCCTCGTCCCCAGCACCCCCAGTCACCGTTGACCATGTCCATTTGGCCCACTGGACCGGAGACAACCAGGACATCCCTGCAGCACGTTGAGTCTTTGAACCTGCTGCCACCTCCAAGATTAAATAGCAAAACTTCCTCTTCCTCTGGGCTCGTTTCGATTGTGGCTGCTGTCAGACAGATTCAAAGATCTTCCACAGTCCTTTCTACTTCGAAAAGGAGCCGTGGACCTGTCTTCTTTCCTCTCTCCCACCTAACGTCAGCTTCTGTCCGTCTTGCTTTCTCTTGCTCACTTCCTCCTCTTGCTTAACTGCTCTGCTTTCTCATCCTGCCCTTCTGCGCTGTTGACGCTCATGAGGGGGAAACGTGTCTCACGCTGCTGCTGTTGCTGCTCTGCTCTCCACTGCACTGACTCACACATTAGAGATTACTGGAGCATCAGTAGTCACTCCTCTCTCCCCTCCCCTCCCCTCACCCTCTCCCTCTCTATCTGGGTGGCCGATCAGCTGCTTAACAGACGTCGGCTCGCCCTGCTCCTGTGTGTTTGCTAACTCGCTCACTTGCTCTCAGGAGTTTGCCTCCCCCTCTCCCTGATTCTTTAAGGGTTTGCAAATCGTGAGGGGAGAGGGGGGGGGGGGGGGTGAGGGAAGGCAATGCTTCCTGTTTTAAGAGGCAAAGAAGCGTCTGGTTACTCTGGGACATTTGTGTCCTTAACAAAGAGGAGATGAAAAGAGAACAGGGGAGGTAATGATGAGGCTGACAGTATCATTTTAAAGATGTAGGAGGAGATGAGTTTGGACTGGATATAAAGCTCATCCAGAACTCATAACATCACAATATTCTATCTTAAAGTAAAGCCCATCTCACTGAGATTACACCCTCACTAAACTATAACAGTAAAATGCAGTAATGCCCTAACTATCTACTGACTTCTTGATGTGTTCGGCCTGCCCACAAAGAGTTAAAAAAGGTAAGTTGAGTTGTTAATGTTTTGTTTACTAGTTGTTTACCTCCCTCGATACATAAAGGGACAGAGTTGAATAGAATGTTTTACAAAGACTAAGAGTGTACTTTGTATAAGCACTATAATCTAAACAAACAGAGAAAATCTGAACTGGAAATGTAGCCGATTATTCCATGATGTGTGAGCAAACCCACAGAAGATGTGTTGTTCAGTGGAAACATCCAGGCCAGACAGAACACAAATCAATACGGCAAACCTAGATTCAACAGTAGCGCTGCCATGACCCATCTGACTGGCTGCTCACACACTTTCACACACACATGTGCCTCTGAGGCGGTTCATATGTGGCTTATATAACTCTAAGTACAGGCTTTCACATTTATACATTTCTCTCTCACACACACATCTAGGCCACATGAGACGAGCTCTTTGAGAAAACATGAACCATGACTAATGTAATAAGGGAGGCCGGTTCAGCCCCTGTGAAGAAGGTGAGCGGGGAAAGAAAAGATGCATTTCTTGTTATTTGCACTTTTAGGTTCCTTTTCCTGCTGTTTAAAGACAGGAGCTCTGCCACTGATGACACTGAGCTGGTCCACAGAGACACGCGGGCGGATAGATGAGCACAAACACACTCAGGAATAATGTCACACACCAGTGAACGCGGAGAAAGATGCTCTGTTCAATCTGTGATTGCTGGACTGAACAATTGGAGCAAATTAGAGGCATGGCAGAAAAAAAGCATTCATTAAATATGAGGAGTGAGAGTCGGAGACATAATAAGTGAGTTTTTGGGCAGGACTGAAATGTGAAATTCATTCCTGACATTGACTGAATTCCTGAAATTGTCTTCTTGTTTCCTTATCTGTGCGGCTGAGAAGACAAACCCATCCGTCTTGCTGTGGACATGATCTGCCTGAAAGCTAACAAACCCCCTCAAGCAGTAAGAGACGTCCTGTGTTCACTCTGCTAAGCTGTAAACATGCCTCTGGACGAAAGGCGGGGCGATAATTCAACTTTGTCTTTCTTTGTTTTGTGATGAAATCATATATTGAGATATTATAATACACAATTATGTCCTGTAAATTGATAAAAACAAGCACATACTAACTTGTTCTGCTCCTGGGAACACGCTAGCGTAGTTAAATCAAACTATGTCTTGATCTGATTCCTCTGCATGTAAACATAGTCAGCATGGCTGAGAATATTGTTTTCTATGGTTTCATTTGAAACTGTTATTTTGCAACCATAATAGTAATAAAATAATATAGGAAATATAAGAAAATACTAAGTACCTTTCATTCACAGAGGAGAATCCAAAAATAGGCTTTACCATTTGTTCATTTCATATAGACTGTTTATTCATTGAATTACCAGAAGACATGCTCTATCTCGATGTATATCGTTATGGAGAAATTATTAAATGATCTATAGATAGAAGATTTTGGCCATGTTTTCCAGCCCTGCTCCTGACATTAACACGCAGGAAACACAGGTATTTAAGAGAGGGGCAACATGCAGAAGTGGACGGTGTTAACAGCTCTGACTCTATTCCCGGCCGAGACGCGAACCACAGACGGAGAAGAAGGAACACAGAGAGAGAGCTCCTCTGTAATACCTTGAAACCACAAATAGCACACAGCGAAACAGAGGCAAACCCACACGTACAGTATACACCCTGTATGCCAACTAGAGAGCTGCCATCTTAGCACACAGGAGTGGACATTTTACACCACACGGCGAACGAACACCGGCTGTTACGTTTCTTTGCCGTCAGTAAATCCAGCAAGAATGCACGTCCTCAATCATCAATTACATTTTGACTGATAGCAGCATGTGTGGTTATGAGCTAAGAATACATCAGCGAGGATAAACACGTCTGTGAGCCACAACAGAGGTGATGTGATATACTGGATGAGATAACTATGTGTGTGTGTGTGTGTGTGTGTGTGTGTGTGTGTGTGTGCACAGAGAGGGAATTAGAGAAGCTTCTCGACTATCACAGACTGTTCATCTCTTTCCTCTCAACCCCCTGGATGACGACAGAAGGTCACCAATCGGACATTTCGTACAGCATCGTATAGCATCACCAGGTCAACATTTCTCCTGACCAACTATTCATAATATCTTAAAAATGAACGAGTGGATTTACATTGAATTTGCTGTGATTATTTTTAGACATACTAATGGATATAGAAGACACTTGTCCTCCCCAGGAGGATGAGCCATTTAGATTTTTAACATCATCACAATCTCCTTCTCTCTTTTACATTTTTTTTATACCCAGAACTGCTAAAAGTAACAGAGATCTCAGCATGTTGTCTGTCAAACACTAACCCTGTTTCAATTACAAGTCACATTCAAAGAAATGTAGCAAGCACTGTTTTCAAGTATTTGGACTTTACCTTGAACATTTACATTGCACACATGTCAAAGAGCAAACCTGCAATGTGAACATGTCGGTGTAAGTGTTAAAGGTATAAGTGCTCCTGATCATGTGTCTTAAATCAAAGTGCTGTAAGGTTGGCATTAACTACCCCAGTTACACCGGTTGTTGGAGATTTTGTAAAAACACACCTCTGAATACAACACAGATCAGAGCCTTGATCCTCTCTGACTGAATATAATATCATTTTAATCTTCCTCTTTGAAAGCTTTAATCTATGAATTAGACCTTAAACCTACAAGATCAGTGTTTTGTGGTCTTTTTTTTATGACTCAGACATCTGCACTGAAGGAAAAGCAGTCTACCAATAAAATACTTCATAATATTTCATGAAGAAACTTCTAATTATCTCAAACAAACTTCTTCAAACTAATGTATTCGTGTGCAACAGAGGATACAGCTGAGACACAGACCCTAGAAGCTTAGAGGTTGAGCCACTATTGTTTGGTTTCAATAGAAAGCGGCACAAAAGATATTTATAAAAACAGGAAGTTGTTCTAAAGTTCCAGCGCAGGCTCTGTTGAGACTTCACAGTCTGCCATAAACCTACGGCCATGTGACGTGAATGTGAACGTGTATTTGAGAATACAAGAAGAGGCGTGAGTACACAGCATATGTGTGTACAATATGTCAACTATTTGTGTTTATCAGTAAGTTTTCATGTAAGACATAAACACTAGTGCATATCTATATATATATATATATC